AATGTGGTGGTATGAGCTCCTAACCTACCCCGCCCCCTCCTATTCTGGACTCAATTGTATACTGCAAGGAACCTTACACCCTCACATGTGGACAACCCAACCTACCCATCTGAGCCCATTCACAGATCCTTCCTACAAAGAGATACGCCTTGGCTAACCTTCAGGAGGCAAGACCCAAATCCAATAGACATTCCTGAGTTTTTCTCATGTTTAGCTTGACAGTATGCAATGCTGAAACACCCTTTTATCTTGATTTCCACAACATCATAATTTTTAGTTTTCCACAAATTTTTTTGGCAGTTCCTCTGCCTCCACCCATGCCTTAAACATTTTATCCCTTCAGGCTCTGTTTTAATTCCTATTCTTTCTCACTTTACACATCTTCCCTAGGTGATCTCATTCATTTCCATGACCTAAATTATCATCAGCAGGCCAGTATCTATTTCTCTAGCACTGTCTTTTTCCCTAAGACTAGCTGCCTACTTGATAATTACACTTGGAACTCTCACAGGCATCTCGAGCTCAGTGTCTTAAACTGCTCTTTACTCTCTTCTCCCCCAACCTTGTTCCAGTCTTCCCTGCTTCTGAAAATAGCACCCTTCCCATCTGAGTTACACGAGTAAGAAATCTGGAAATCACCCCTTACACTGCCCTTTCCTTTGTCTCCTTCCCCCACATACCACCAATTCTGTTTGCTCAGTATCTCTCATATCCATTTATCCATAACCCCTATGGCCGCTGTCTACATTGTTCAAACCACTATTACTTCTGTTACTACCACAATAGCCTCCTCAAACTTTTTCATGTAATGGCACAGGTTGAAAATGATAATATTGTAAGATACTCTGGAATAAACTGGAAAAGATTTTAAAGAATCTATTTGGGCTTAACTTAAAAAAAAAACATTGCTTTTCTCACACTGTAATTTTGAAAAATAAATATAAAGCATTATAATGTTAAACATTGGAATTTTATAAATATCAAATATATTTTTCAAAATTTTAAGAGAATTTTTATAAGTTTTCCTTCATAAATATAACTTTTTAATATAAGCTTTTATAATTGAAATGCCTACTATCAATCCTTATCAAGACTTTTTAAAGATGAACTCTTCAAATTCCCGATAGGCATTATCTAAGAGAACTTATGTTCATAAAAGGAAATGAAAAAAATGTTTAAATATTTTTACAACATTTTAAAATTTACAAGTTGAAATCATATTTTAAAACTCTAACAGCTCTTCCTGTTATTTAAATAGCAAATATAGCGTTCAAATTCCTTCCAATAACATGAATGGATTTTGAAACCAGCTGAACTTTTTCATATCAAGTATTTCAAAAACAATGATGGAAATTTTATCTGCAGGACACACGGGCACCATCAAATCAGTTGCCTTGCAGCTAGCACAGTTGGACAGGAACAAAAAAGAACATCAGCTGCAAACAGAAATGTCAGCTATGTGTCATGTCAGATAATGCCTTGGAGCTGCACCTCTACCCCACCTTTCCAAGCCCTCTCTGACCAGCCACACTGCAGGCACCTGCAACAAAAACCCTCCCAGCAGCCCCATGGACTGTGAAAGACCTAGAATGAAGATGTGCGGAGTAGAAAATACAGAATAAACCCAAATATCAAAGAAATGCAGGAATTTGGGGAGCCACTCTCCATTCAGCCACTCACCGAATTGCTAAGGGGTTGGCTATCTTCTGCGTACTGCAGTTTTGAATATAATGAAGCAGAAAACTATTTCTGAACTTCCTGGAAAGAATAATATTTGACTGGGGTGGGCTAGCTTGGTTCTGGAACAGGCAGTAAAGACACACTTTCTAAGAATAGAGCTCAACCTGAATAGACATGAATAATGAACATTTGTTGGTTGCATTCCCAGCAACCATTCCCTGCTTTGCCCCTCTTAAAAGTCTCTAGATTTTTCTTCTGGTTAGCAGCTCCTCCTTCTCAAAGCTCATGACTCTTTGAGTCCTGGATCTAGGATAAATAAGACATTCACAATCTTAAACGCCTGTCCCCATTCTTCACTCAAGGGTACAGTTGCCAAGGGCTTAAAGTTCCCTGCTCTTCTGAAACGGCTACCAAAAGAGATGCTCTCTGTCACTGTACTGGACAACGTGACCTCATATGAAAAATGAAACTGCTAGAGCATGCATTCTTAATGGGGGTGATATCATTTCCCAGGGGGTGAAAACTGGGGAGAGAAAAAAAACTTACTCTCTTTAGGTATAAAGCATAAATATGCATATCGTACATAAACATATACACAATATATATGTGGTATTAAAATGCTGGGGGGCCGTGAAAAAGTCTTAAAAGGCTCCTTAGGGGATCAATAATGGGAAAAAAAAAGTTGACAAACTCTGTTCTAGAGCAATGGCAAATACCACAAAAAGCAGAAGACAATAATGGAAACTAAATTATTGACGTTATCATTGTTTATGAAACAAATGACACCTGAAGCCTGTTCTAGCTCTTAGCTTCCCACTTAACTAAGCCAATAAATCCTCTTTATTGTTTAAGCAATGTTACCTTGAGTTTCCTGTTACTCATCACAAAAGTCCTATTAACAGATAAAATATGGAACTCTTTCTCTGAGGTATTATATTGACACATGGCAGTGCAACAGAATATTAAAGTGAAACTATTTTAGTCTGCTTCTGCTAAGCCTCCATGAAATTAGGTGTCAGATACCTTCATATCCCAAATGAGCAAAGTAAGATGAGAATCCCACTTACAACACACAAAGAGATGGTGAGAAATGGATTTCAAAACTCTTTGCCCTCATCCCCTGGGTACTATAAAAGGGTTAAAACTGAAGACAGAGTTGAAGGTTAGAGAGTAGTTATTAGGACACTGACATGAGGATGGGTGGTGGAGAGTCCTCAAACTGGGAGGGAATTCAAGGAGACCAGTTAAATAGCTTGATGTGTATCTCTGGAAATTTGTGGAGATGCAATCGACTAGTGACTGAAGTTGACATGAAATTGTGAGGTTCAAGCTTCCATCTGTAACTCATGAAAGTTAAAGAAGTTAAAAGGAATACAAAGTCAAAATTGAGGTAAACTGAGACAAATTCTCCTCCCTCATTTCTCTGGATTCAAACTACATTGCTTAGGATTCTTTGATTGCAAGTGACAAAAATATAGGTTGAATCAGCTTAAATGAAAAACGGTAATTTATTGGCTCATGAAGTCAAAGCACAGAATGGGAGGGGAAGATTGGACCTTGGGGATGACTAGAGCCAGAGACATAAGCAGGGCTGAGAGCTGGGACTTTATTATCAGAAGCTAGTGAAGAGGTGCCAGATAGGGAGGGAGGGAGGGAGGGAGAAAATCTGCAAGCAAATAGGACAAGAATTGATTTTCGATTACTATCAATATCAGAAGTCCAAATCGGTGCATAAAACACAGAAGGAGAAGTACAGTATTGGGGTAGATGTTCAAGATCATGTAGGAAATTCACTTTGAAATGCATCCAACAAAATAAGACAGATGTATGAGTGGATGGATAGACAGATACATGATAAAACAGGTATAATAAAATGTTAATGATAGCATCTTGGTGGTAAGTATATAGGTGCTTACTGTAAAATTCTTTCAACTTTTCTGTATGTTTGATGTTTTTCTTAACAAAATTTGGGGGAAAAAATCAAGCATAACAGCATCATGGCTGTAGTGATTAGTCCCTTATCAGCAGGATTCTAGTCCTAAACTGAAGGTATAGAAAACAGATCTTGCACTCCAGGGAAAGTGAGGACTGGCAAAACCTATTCATTCAGCTAGAACATATAACAAATATTTCTTGAATTCCAAATATTTCTTGAATTCCCACTTGGTAGCATCCATTGTATTAAGCTCAACGTGTTAAAAAGAGAAATTAGATATGACCTGCAGAGTGAAAGGACAAGGTTAAGAGGTGACCATCCTAGTTTGGGAATTTGAGTAAAAAAATGACAGGTAAAAATGGTTATCCCACTGATTTAATATGCTTCTATTTGGTTACTAGTGCACTAAGCATCACTTCACATGTAGAAATAAAGCTCTGATTTCTCACTTGGACAACTGAGTAGATGATAGGATCCTTCATGGAGACACAAAATGCACACGGAAGAATGTATCTGTGGTGGGTAATAACTTCTGAATTCGCTTTTGGAATCTTGAAGTTTGGGTGCTTACGTTACATCTAAATAGAGATGTCCAATAGGTCCGGAATTCAGGAAAAATTTTAACAGTGGGAGAAATTGGGAGTTATCATCATAAAAGTGGTCAAGACCCTGGATAAGATCATCCAGAGATTGTGCTGTGAGAAGAAATTATTCTTTCTTTCATTCTCTTACCCGTTCACCAAACTACCATTGAGTGTTACTAAAACTACAAAAAATGACAGAATGTTTTCCAGGAGTTCATACTTCTTAATTGCCAAATTCAATGACCTATTTGCAATCCCAAATGAGTTAAACTTACTTCTCTACAGCATTTATTTGGCTGGCTATTCCTTAACTGAAAAGCTCTCCTACAGTGATATTCCGATCACCATTCCCCCACTTTTTTGCCTGTTCCTTTTTGGTCTCATACTGAGACTTAGAATTTGGCATTCCCAGGGTTTCATCCTTGGTCCTTAAACCTTCATCTCTAACTCCAATTTTCCCAGTTAGGCTTCAGGTCAAACTGACTAAAGTTTAACAGCTAGTTTAAAACTAAAAATTGTGTTGATAGTATTGATACAACACCGGCATTACTTTCCGCCTTATAGATATTCGGACTTAGGTTCTACTAGCCTGTGAGAATCGTAATTGTTTTACTCTGAGCCTATTTTCTCACGTCCTGAAAATGGCAACAAAAATATTTAACTTGCAAGGCTACTGTTAATGATTAAACTATAAATGTAAAGCATCCAGCACAATGCTCTGCACTCCAACACGTACCATAACACACCCCATAAATTCAGATGAACGACAAATTATGCCAAATTATAAGTATCTACCTTACCTAATATTAACTTCTGTTCGTGAGGCTACATAGTGTTAATCAGGTTACACGCGCTGGCTCGCTGTGTATTATTTTCTTTAGAATTTCTCATAGCATCAGGGACTGGCTCAAAGTAACAGGAGCAACCGCTTCCTTCCAAACACATTGAGGGAAACACATTTTCCAAGGCTTTTTAAGAAATAGTTCAGTTTAGCTTAGGGGTGAAACTGAAAAGCAAGCTTCGTAACAAAAACTCAAGCCAACACTACCGTCCGTCTGCAGGTCTCTGAGGGAAAAGGGAGCGGGGTCACAACATAGTTCACGAAGCAGAGTACAAACCGAAGGTTTTATCTTTCCCGCCGGTTCGTAGAGGACCAACCATACTGATATTCCATCATGCTCTGCGCCACTTCCGTTCGCGCGTTTTAATTACGTCCCGCGCCAGTTCTCGCGGTATCTTCCGGTTGCTGAGGCCCTTTAACAGAGATCTCGCGAAATTTGTCCAAAGGGTCCAATCTAGCCTCTCACCCTCCCCCACTCCACGCCCAACCCGTCCTTCCTTTCTCTGTCTCTGTCACCAAACTCTCTCCTCCCCTCCCTTGAGCTCACCGCCCACCTCTGGTTTCCGATTTGAGGCCGGAACCGGAAGTTTTGTGGGCGGGGCCCGGCGGAGGAAAACGCAGCGGAGCCTGAGCCGGGACTCGGCTGTGGCCGCAGCCCCTGTCCCCGCCACGGACCGCCGTGGCTCCAGGTTGAAGGTCGGTCCGGAGGCCGGTGGGCGCGGGTCTCCCCCGGACTGTCCGGGCCGCAACCATCCCTGGCCCCCCGGGTTCCGCAAGGGATCATGTCTACAGCCTCCGCCGCTTCTTCGTCCTCCTCGTCTTCCGCCGGTGAGATGATCGAAGCCCCCTCCCAAGTCCTCAATTTTGAAGAGATCGACTACAAGGAGATCGAGGTGGAAGAGGTGAGCGAGGCCCGGCACGGAGGCGCCGGCCCCGGCCGGTCCAGGTCTCTTCCTGGTCCCGACACTTAAGGCGCCTCCTCGACCCCTCTGTTTCGTGGGGTCCACCCGGGTGTCCCCACACTCCACGGAGACCGGGCGTAAAGGGGACTCTCCGCGTTCACCTGCTCCGGTGTAGCTCTCTTTTTTCCTCACTTCGGCACTCTTGAGTTTGAATTTGATATTCCGGTGCCTGGATTTGGGTCATCTCAAACAGAGAAGGATGAACTGGTGCGGTCGTGTGGTCCACCAGTTCTCGAATCTGTTCCGTAGTAAAATTCATCAAAGACCATGGCCGTTTTGGAGTTTTGGTTCTCTAAGGCATAGTGTTGTTAAGGGCTAAGGATTTTATTATGTTCGACTTCCAGCTCAGCGTCTGGCGCCCAGTGAGTGTTCTATGGATGCTTGATAAATTAATACATCCCCAGGTCTAACACAGTTTTTCCCCGAATACGGAATGGTTCTCAGCTTAGCCGATTCCATAGAGCAGTAGTCGTAATAGTAAGTGTTCTGCCTTCAATTAGACTACTTTAGATTGATTTCACCTTTAGTACTGTAGACTGCTATACGATGAAAAGATGTTTCAAGTAGCATATTCTGAAAAGGTAACTAATGATTTCGGTGACAACCAGAATATATCAGACCAAAAATCGCTGTTAGAAAACCCGAATCCATTCTTTATTCTGCAATAAATTATTTTAGAGCAAGGTAATAATGTGCCTTTAATAACTGCTTCTTTCCAAATTCACAGAGATTGGTTGTAAAGTCCACAAAATTTAGAAAAGTAAAACCTGTATATATGTAAAGATACACTTTAGAAAGTGTTAAAACTTTGGTTGAAAATTGTATCTGTTATTTACCATTTATCATTTTTAAAATGTACTAAGCACCTTACATTACATACACCAAAAAGAACCCTGTATGTCCTATATTACAGACTGTCAATTACCTCTACTTTAAAAATTCAAAATTATTTTTAGGTGGTGGCAAGCTAAAAGTAGTGAGATAATTATCCTTCAACAAATAATTTTTTTCTATGCATGTTTTGGAAGAATAATGGACTATTTAATCATATTTTTCCTTGAATAAAATAACCTTAAAGGTCACTGAAAACAACCTCATTTTACAAGATAGTGTAAGTGGGAAGAGCAAAGCCTTTGGAAGGAGTTAGATGAAGGTTCAGTATATCAGCTATGCCACTTATTAGCTGTATGATTTGGAGCAAGTCTCCTGACTAACCTTGTTAAGCTTTCATTTCCTTAACTGTAAAATAGGGATAATAATTTCTATTTCATTTTATTTGTATAACAGATTTTATTAGGTAATACATGCAAAACACCCAACACTGCCTGACACACATTACTAGGAAACTGAGTTACAGAGAGGAACAGTGACCTGCTTTAAGGTCACATGGCTAAAAGAAGGACCCATAGTTTGGAAAGAGGGGGGAATTTGTGTGTGTGTGTGTGTGTGTGTGTGTGTGTGTGTGTGTGTGTGTGTTCTGTTGAGGCTATGATAAATTCCTTTTTAAGAATTGGATAGTTGATCCAGCTTTCATGGCTAACATTCTTTCTTTTTTAAGAATGAAAATTTCGTGAGTCAGTATAAAAGAATTACAGTTTTTAAATAAGCATTTACGTCTGCTCTGTGGTGAACTGTTATGCTTGTAGACTACAGATTGTCATATAATAATAACTTATACTTCATGGTCTTCCAAATGCTTTCACAGACTTACATCATTTGGTTTTTACCACCTTAGTTTTCCCACACTACTTTCTAAAGCATTTTACATTCTTGGTTACTAAGGTGTCATTTATCATTTTACTGCTCTTCCTCCGAAGCCACTTAACTTCTGATTGAGGTTCTGTTTCCAAAGACCCTTCCTTCAGTTTAGATAATATTTCAACTTTTCTTTGGTATTTTTAGGACATTCCTGAGGAGTAAATTTTTGTTTGTAGCTGAAGTTTTCTAATGTCAGGCAGTCATCTAATTTTATTCTTCTCACTTTTTTATTACGCAGTTTAATTTCATGTTAGAGATTGAATTTAGACTTTTCTAATGTTAAAACTGTTATATAATTTTCATTATATTCTTTATTTTCACATTAAAACAGTGTTACATAATCTAGGGTGCACAGCACTCGGTAACTATTTCTTAACTTAGATTCTACTTCTGGCTTAAAATCTTGAATAAGAGAACAGAGAAAGGTGACTAAAAACAAAAAGTATTTTATGTTGCTTTCAGTATTTTATGTGGTACCGGTATATTGCGTATAAATAAAGAAAATCATATTCTGTTTCTCAAATAAGTGTAATTGAATCAGCATTATATCGATTCGGTTGGAAACTATGTAAGAAAAATACTCCAACCATAAGCCAAATATGCATTCATTTCGTAGGTGCATATTTTTAAGGCATCAGCTGATTTTACGCCTTACATTTCTAATATCTCTAATATCATGACTCAGTAATATCAGCGTGGAACTTCCTAAATTCAGTTCTGATATCAAATTATGTCAGGTCTCAGCATCAGAAACCTATGTAGGTACTTTTTTTAAAGTCATTTAGCTTTTGTTGTTGTGGATCTGAGTGTAGAGACTGTTGGAATAAACTGTGAGGTATGCACATTGTGGACTAGCTTGCAAGAAGTGGTGAAGGCAGTGTGTTGTGGTAAAAAAGTGTACCCAGTAGGCTGGGTATTTAGAAAATGTCAATGCCATACGGATTTTGCCATAATGTGTTTCAGTAACTTTGAGCAAGTCATCTTATTTTTCTGGGCCTCTGATTTCTCATGTAAAATAAGAGATTGAACAAGATCATGTAAGGTCTCTTCCAGTTCTAAAATGAAAACACATTATTGTTTGCAGTATTTATGCTGTGTTTCCACAGTAAGCTTTAAGAACAGTGATCATGACCTCTTGTGGACTGTAGTTTGTGACTAACTAATCCTGGTTAAATAGGGCAAATGATACCCCCATTTTATAGATATTGACAAATGGTCATAGAGTTTGATTTGCCAGAAGCCTCATGTCTAATTAAATGGTAGAGCCAGGAAATGAATTTGCGATTTCTCACTCCTGAGTCATTTGCTCTTTCCATTTGGATTTACAGGGTCACTTTGGTTCCTTCTGAAGTACTCTGTAACCAAACCTTATTGTAAGAATGGGGAAACAAAATACTGATTTCCTTTATAATAGTTGGTCTTGAGCATTTAATGAACAGTGTCTTCTGTGGATAATACTGCTAAGATTATGGAAGATGAATAGAAGGATCCTAGGATTCTCTCCTTAAAAACTTTGACTTTACTGTGAGGCTAGATTTTTAGGACCACAAATTTAAAACTATGAATGTAATGTAAATTGAGCATTTAACCCATAATTTCAAAGTAGAGTTTATCACAGAAGGCTCCATTGAGTGGGAAAGATTTTGAAACTACATTTTGAATAAAGTAAGCATCAGAGATTGGGAAAGATACTAAGATGAATTTTCTTTGCAGTTGTTCCTCTGCCTCTAATGCTCTTCCCCCCAGAACTTCAAATGGCAGACTCCTTCTCACTATTCAAGTCCGACTTCAAATGTTACTTCCTTAGAGAAGCCTTCCCTGAGCAACCTAGATCTTTGTCATTTTTGTTATCCTTCATGGCACTTACCAGTAACCAAAATTATGTATCCCCCCAGCAAAGTTTAACCTGTCTTATTCCCACTTGTAACTCCAATGCCTAGCATCTAAAGGTTTTCTATAAATAGTTGCTGAGTGAGTAAATGAAGTTACCACAGCATAATCATGAGAATTTTAGTGTCCATCTGGTTCTCTTACGTGGTCTGGTTCTTTTATGTGATATAACCAGAGGTTAAGATAAGTTAGTGATTCGGCTAAAGTAGCATTTACACTAAAAATGAAATCTGATTCTCTTTGCAAATGTTGATTCCATTACAATCCATTATACCTAGCAAATACTTTGGTTTAGCCAGGGGTAAAAGATGCTGCAAAGGGTGAGGTGCTGAGAGTAAGCCATGTATTGGTGGGCCTTTACTAAAATGCTAAAAAGACCGTATTTAGTATGGTTGCTTTTTAAAGGGGAGACCCACAGTGTTGATGTCAAGAATAGCATATGTGCAAGACACATATAATCATTGCAGCATTTATATCTTCTTAAGTTTCATTATGGAGACATGCAAAGATTTTGTTTTAAAGGGAAATACAGGAAGAACTTTGGTAGTGATGTACATTTTGTAATTTTACGTTATAAGTATATGGGCAACTGATAACAGAGAAAAACCTAACTTACAGTGGCCTGAATAAACTGATTCTATAGATTTGTTAGTCAGTATTAATATTATGAACATCCAAAATTATTAATAAGCTCTTCCACGTG